CCCCGGGGGCCGCCCGCCACAGCCTGCTCTGAAGACTCTGAGAACACCAAGTCCTCCGTGGGGCTGCCTGGGCCCCGGGGAGGCTCCTGTGCCGGGGGGTGCTCCTCTATGGGGCCCGCCCAAGCCTGAGAGGCTGCTGCTCTGTCCTCCTTGGTCTCTTTACTGTCCAGGCTGGGGTGGGGCTCCTGGGTCTCTGTCACAGCACAGATGGAGGGACAAATGCAGAGAAGGGGCAGACCTTGGGCAGCTGCCCCCATACCCTGCCATCTGCTGCGGAGGGAGGGAGTGGCTAACTTCCAGAGAACGCCTCCACTAAGCCACGCAGCGAGCCTCGGCACCAGCTGTACCCCCTCCCTCCACTGGTGTCAGCAGCCCTGGGGGAAGGCCCGACTGGCTCAGAGATGCGATACTGAGGTGGGGAGGGCAAGGAAGGGCAGGTCTGACTGCAACCCAGGGGAGTCATCGCTATGGCAACCTGGGGTTCCCAGCCAAGGGGCTGATGGGGTCCCGTGCAGCTAGGGCCCTCTTACCTTGGGCTCGTGGGGGTGGTGGCGGCAGTGGAGGAGGCTGTGAGGACGTGGCCTCATCCAGGGCCCTCTCAGTGTGCTCAGCGGTGGGGGTGGAGGCTGCGCTGGAGTCGGCCGGGCTCCGGGCAGGGATGGGGGTAGGTGCCATCCTCCGGTGGCTGTCCAGGTGGCTGCCTGTGGGACAGACCCCCCAGTGTGGTCAGCGAGGGTTGGGGAGCCGGGTGGGACCAGGACTGCCCACCGTGGGGCCTGCCCAGCACCTCTTCTCTGGAGTCTGGGCGAGGGCTGGGAGCTCCCCAGGCTCTCAGGGGCCAGGGACAAAGGCAGGCAGTACCTGCTCTGGGGACAAACACCAGAAACTGCCGTCAGGCTGGGGGAGTGAGGGCGGGGGGGGGCTGGGGGGAAGCGGGGCCCTCCTTACCCCCCGCCGAGGCCTGGGGCTGCTACCTACATGGGAGGGAGGAAGAGAGGTTTGGGGTGCGGTGACAGGTGATATAGGGAAAGGGAGTCCGTGGAGGGGAAGAGGAGGAAGAGGAGGAGGAGGAAGGCCCACTGTCCGATGCCTTTATGAAAGGGCAGTACGGACGACCTGCCGAGAGAGACAGACAGAGAGAGAGAGACAGAGGACAAGAGAGGGTCATTCTCCCCACCCCCAAGGCCTCACCCACCCCAGGCTGCCCTGGATGTCCGAGCTGCCTTCAGCCAGGGCGCACAT